GCTAGATTCCCTTTACTTTTTTAGAAATGAGCGTTTCCGTTCTCCCTGGCCCCACTTGCACTATAAGTGCGAAATGCCGGCCAGACTGGCCGATGCACCATTTTCTCTACACATGTGCGTTAGTTACCTTTCAAACCCTTACGTTCACTCGATTAATATATTTCCTTCCTTATTTTTGACTGAGACCACTAGATTCCGTGTACTATGCGAGATCTAAGCGGTTCCGTTCTCCCAGGCATTTGCACTCTAAGTTCCCATACTGACCGACCTGGCCAATGCACCATTTTCCATATACATATGCATCATATTCCTTTCGAACCTTATTAGCTCACTAGATTTATATATTTCCCACCTTCTGATCGAGTGAGACCACTAGATTCCCTTTACGTTTTGAGAAATGAGCGTTTCCGTTCTCCCTGGCCCCACTTGCACTATAAGTGCGAAATGCCGGCCAGACTGGCCGATGCACCATTTTCTCTACACATGTGCGTTAGTTAACTTTCAAACACTTCCGTTCACTCGATTAATATATTTCCTACCTTATATTTGAGTGAGACCACTAGATTCCGTGTACTATGCGAGATCTGAGCGGTTTCGTTTTCCCAGGCATTTGCACTCTAAGTTCCCATACTGACCGACCTGGCCAATGCACCATTTTCTATATACATATGCATTAGATTCCTTTCGAACCTTATTAGATCACTAGATTTTTATATTTCCCACCTTCTGATCGAGTGAGACCGCTAGATTCCCTTTACTTTTTTAGAAATGAGCGTTTCCGTTCTCCCTGGCCCCACTTGCACTATAAGTGCGAAATGCCGGCCAGACTGGCCGATGCACCATTTTCTCTACACATGTGCGTTAGTTACCTTTCAAACCCTTACGTTCAGTCGATGAATATATTTGCTTCCTTATTTTTGAGTGAGACCACTAGATTCCGTGTACTATGCGAGATCTAAGCGGTTCCGTTCTCCCAGGCATTTGCACTCTAAGTTCCCATACTGACCGACCTGGCCAATGCACCATTTTCCATATACATATGCATTAGATTCCTTTTGAACCTTATTAGATCACTAGATTTATATATTTCCCACCTTCTGATCGGGTGAGACCGCTAGATTCCCTTTACTTTTTTAGAAATGAGCGTTTCCGTTCTCCCTGGCCCCACTTGCACTATAAGTGCGAAATGCCGGCCAGACTGGCCGATGCACCATTTTCTCTACACATGTGCGTTAGTTACCTTTCAAACCCTTACTTTCACTCAATCAATATATTTCCTACCTTGTATTTGAGTGAGACCACTAGATTCCGTGTACTATGCGAGACCTGAGCGGTTCCGTTCTCCCAGGCATTTGCACTCTAAGTTCCCATACTGACCGACCTGGCCAATGCACCATTTTCTATATACATATGCATTAGATTCCTTTCGAACCTTATTAGATCACTAGATTTATATATTTCCCACCTTCTGATCGAGTGAGACCATTAGATTCCCTTTACTTTTTGAGAAATGAGCGTTTCCGTTCTCCCTTGCCCCACTTGCACTATAAGTGCGAAATGCCGGCCAGACTGGCCGATGCACCATTTTCTCCACACATGTGCGTTAGTTAACTTTCAAACCCTTCCGTTCACTTGATTAATATATTTCGTACCTTATATTTGAGTGAGACCACTAGATTCCGTGTACTATGCGAGATCTGAGCGGTTCCGTTCTCCCAGGCATTTGCACTCTAAGTTCCCATACTGACCGACCTGGCCAATGCACCATTTTCCATATACATATGCATTAGATTCCTTTCGACCCTTATTAGCTTGCTATATTTATATATTTCCCACCTTTTGATTGAGTGAGACCGCTAGATTGCCTCTACTTTTTGAGAAACGAGCGTTTCCGTTCTCCCTGGCCCCACTTGCACTATAAGTGCGAAATGCCGGCCAGACTGGCCGATGCACCATTTTCTCTACACATGTGCGTTTGTTACCTTTCAAACCCTTACGTTCACTCGATAAATATATTTCCTACCTTATATTTGAGTGAGACCACTAGATTCCGTGTACTATGCGAGATCTGAGCGGTTCCGTTCTCCTAGGCATTTGTACTCTAAGTTCCCATACTGACCGGCCTGGCCAATGCACCATTTTCCATATACATATGCATCAGATTCCTTTTGAACCTTATAAGCTCACTAGATTTATATATTTCCCACCTTCTGATCGAGTGAGACCGCTAGATTCCCTCTACTTTTTGAGAAACGAGCGTTTCCGTTCTCCCTGGCCCCACTTGCACTATAAGTGCGAAATGCCGGCCAGACTGGCCGATGCACCATTTTCTCTACACATGTGCGTTAGTTACCTTTCAAACCCTTACGTTCACTCGATTAATATATTCCCTACCTTATATTTGAGTGAGACCACTAGATTCCATGTACTATGCGAGATCTGAGCGGTTCCGTTCTCCCAGGCATTTGCACTCTAAGTTCCCATACTGGCCGACCTGGCCAATGCACCATTTTCCATATACATATGCATTAGATTCCTTTCAAACCTTATTATCTCACTAGATTTATATATTTCCCACCTTCTGATCGAGTGAGACCGCTAGATTCCCTCTACTTTTTGAGAAACGAGCGTTTCCGTTCTCCCTGGCCCCACTTGCACTATAAGTGCGAAATGCCGGCCAGACTGGCCCATGCACCATTTTCTCTACACATGCGCGTTAGTTACCTTTCAAACCCTTACGTTCACTCGATTAATATATTTCCTACCTTATATTTGAGTGAGACCACTAGATTCCGTGTACTATGCGAGATCTGAGCGGTTCCGTTCTCCCAGGCATTGGCACTCTAAGTTCCCATACTGACCGACCTGGCCAATGCACCATTTTCCATATACATATGCATTAGATTCCTTTCGAACCTTATTGGCTCACTAGATTTATATATTTCCCAGCATGGCCTTGTTGTCTACGTACAGGACTGGAGGAGAACGAGGCGGCTCTCCAAGGTCGGTCAGCAGGTAGGTGAGCCAGCGAAGCTCCCGGGCCGCCATAGCCTCGGCGTAGATCTAAGCCTCACAACTGGAGCCGAGAACAGAAGACGAGCGGGTAGCCCGCCACGAAACAGAGCCGGAACCAAGGCTGAAGGTGTAACCCTGTGACGACCGCTGCGTAGCCTGGTCGTCAGCCCAAGAAGCGTCCGCGTGCCCAGTGAGGACCACTGGACTGCGCCCTCCAAGCACTAGCCCCATGCCCGACGTACTGCACAAGTAGCGCAACACCCTCTTCGCTGCAGCCATGTGCTCTGGTCGGTGTCTCCCAGGAGCAACATAGCGTGCGAGAATGCTAAGAGGGTATGCCAGCTCAGGTCGTGTGCAGGTCATCAGGTACATGAGGCAGCCAACAAGCTCTGCATACGGGCCACTCGACTCTACAGACTCATCCGAAGGCAGAGCTGAGAGCGAGTGGCGAGTAGGCGGAGGAGTGGCCTGAGGCGAGGAGTACGTGAAGCCAAAGCGCTGAAGGACCTGCTGCACCATGTGTGACTTAGTCAGGGTAATGGTGCGGCGTGCTCTGTCCCGGGTGATCTGCAAGCCAAGGTAGCTGCGCAGTTCACCCAGGTCAGTGCACGTGTGTCTCTTCTGCAGCTCGAACTTCACGTAGGCTAGTCCAGCAGTGTCAGCTGTGGCAAAGACCAAGTCGTCGACGTACACGAGGATGTAGAACGGCGGCAGAGAGGTGTCGGTGCGCAGAAACAGCGAAGGGTCTGTAGTGGAAGGAGCAAACCCAAGTGCCGCCAGCGTAGTCCTCAGTGTGTCATGCCACTCACGCGGCGCCTGGCGGAGACCGTAGACTGGACGCCGAAGACTCCACTATGTACCAGGAGGGAAAGACCCAGTGAAGCCAGGTGGGCGACGTAGCCAGATCTCCTCGTGCAGGCTGCCCTGCAAGAAAGCAGTGCTGATGTCGAGAGAGTGCAGCTCGTAATCACGGTGAGCAGCAACGTGCAGCAGTACCCGAAGAGTGGTCATCTTCGGGGTGGGGGAGAAGGTCTGAAAGTAGTCAACTCCCTGCCGCTGACTGAAGCCACGAGCCACGTAACGCGCCTTGAAGAAAGGCGGAGAACCCGGCGGCCGCTTCACCCTGAAAATCCACATGCCACTGACGATGTTCGCCCCAGGAGGGGGGACAGCGTCAACGTAGGTGCCTGTGGACTTCCAGGAAGCCATCTCTGCATCCATAGCTGCCTGCCACTGAGAGGAGTAGGGACCCTCTATCGCCTCCGCGTAAGAGCGCGGAGTCGGGATGTCTAGTGCATCCGGGTCTCCCTCAGGGGTGAGCAGTACAGACGCGAGATGAGGTGAAGCGGCGGCAAAGCACTGGAACTCCTCCTGCCTGTCCTCTAGGACGTCCGTGCCAAGGGCACACTCACCCCCGGCGGATGGAGGACAGGTAGACTCAGACTCAGCGACAAGACTAGCAGCGTAGTCTTGACGACAACGCGCAGCAAAGTCGACGAGCTCAGTAACAAGGGCAGACGCAGCAGAAGACTCGAAAGAAGGGTCACTGACGGCAGTAGCAAGGAGACGCGTGACAGTAGGACTGGCAGCACGAAGAGAGTCCGACTCCGGGTCGGCAAGAGCAGGAAGAGAGTAAGCAAGAGGAGAAGGCAAAGGGGCACGCAGAGGAGCAGTGGATAGACGCAGAGACATCCGGTGCGTGCCAGGGACAGGATTAGGACCCTGACGCGAACCGCGACCACTAGTGCGCGCAGCACGAACAGGCGACGCAGGACGTGACGCAGGCTCACGACGCTCAGTAAGACCTCCAGTCGGACCAGTGTAGGGAGAAGGAGCAGGCAAAGGGGAGGCAGGCTGTAGCTGTGACTGTGACTGGACAGGCTGTGGACCCTCTTAGGGAGGAGGAGGAGGACCAGGAGAAGGTGTAAGACCAAGAACCTGCTGCAGAAGTGGAACGAAGTACGGTCGGGGCCGCGTGGCGACGCCTAAAATAGCAAGGACAGCAGCAGTAACCTGAGCAGGAGTACCCGCTCCAGCAGCACCTCCAGTAGCTCCAGAACCCCGAGCAGCACCTCCAGCAGCCCCAGAACCTCCAGCAGCACTTGGAGCACTGCCAGTTGGACCGCCAGCGGTAGTCTCAGCGCCAACACTCTCAGCAGCACCAGCTCCAGGAGAACCCGCAGGCCCAGCAGCTCCAATACTCCCAATAAGAGCACATCCAGGACGCGCGGCAGCAGCACCCTCAGCAGCCGAAGAGCCTCCAGCACCAGCAGCACGCCTCCAGCGCCGGGCAAACCACTCACGCAGCTCCTATTGGGAGAGTGGCTCTTGGCGAGACGAAGCACCCGGAGAACCTCCAGGCGAAGAACCTCCAGTCTCAGCACTCACAGGCTCAGCACCCCCAGGTGCAGCACCTCCAGTCTCAGCACCCCCAGGCTCAGCACCTTCAGGCTCAGCACCCCAAGGCTCAGCACCCCCAGGCCCAGCACCCCCAGGCTCAGCCTCCCCAGGCTCAGCACTCTCAGACTCCGCACCCCCAAGCTCCGCACCCCCAGGCTCAGCACCCCCAGGCACAGCACCCCCAGTCACAACACCCCTAGGCTCAGCACCAGAGTCACCAGTGACTTCGACAGGCTTGACCGCGTATACCTGGGACACACTTGAAGGGGCAGGACCCTAAGGGGGAAGGGGGTCTACCGGGGGGGGACCTGGTACCAAGAAGAGCGGGGGTGGGGGGAGGGACGGAGTGCAGTAGGGGAAGAGGCGGTAGTAGGGTACCGACTCGTCAAACGTGACGTCCTAGGAGGACAGAACACGGCGAGAGGTGGGGTGGTAGAACTGCCACCCAGGGGCGTCGGGGGGGAACCCCAAGAAGACGCAGGGAGCAGCGCGAGTAGACAGCTTGTCCGCAGACAAGTCGCGGACAAACGCCCGAGATCCCCAGACACGGAACGCCGACGCATCGCCAACCTTCCACGTCCACAGCAGAGCTGGGGAGGTCTCCGGCCTGGAGACCCTGGGGTGGAGGTTGATCTGATGCGCCGCGTACCTGACCGCAAACGGCCACAGAAAATGGGGGGCAGCCGCACGCATCATAGACGTACGAGCGACGTCCATGACCATGCCAATGCGGCGCTCTGCAATCCCATTTTGCTGCGGTGAGTCCGGAAGCGTGAAGGTCTGACGGATGCCTCGCGCACGACAGTAGGCACGCAGAAGGCCAGAGGAGAACTCTCCGCCTCTGTCTGAGTGCAGACGCAGCACAGGAAAGTCCGAGCCAAAGCTCTGCCTGAGCTGGAGACGAGCTGCGCGGATCCAGTCGATCAGCACCTCAGTGACATCACCTTTGCTGCGCAAGGGGAAGTCTGTGGTGTAACGCGAGTAGTCGTCAACCACCAGCAGGAAGTAGCACTCGTGACCGAGACCACGGACGCGGGCAGGGCCCCACACGTCCATGTGAAGCGTCTGCAACGGAGCCTCTGCCGGAGGAATCTGGGAGGAGTGAGGGGCAGCACGCTGGCGCCCCTCGACACAGGGGACACAGGTAGGGCCAGGGCCCTGTGGAAGGGGAGGGAGGGACCGGGGAAGACCAGACACAAGAAGACGGGAGGCCATGCCTCTGAGCCAAAGCAGAGAGGGGTGACCCAGGCGGTTGTGCCAGAGGAGAGTCTCGTGAGACAGACGACGACACGAACAGGGGGCAGACTCAGGACCAGACCTGGACGCTGCAGCAAACACCTGACCTGACGAAGGGACCCTACCAGACTCAGAAACTGGAGGAGAAGCAGTGGTCAGTGTGTACAGGCTCGACCCTGGCTGACGTGTAAACGTAGCCAGGTGACGACCTGTGCTAGCCTCTGTGCAGTGCGTCACCCGCTGATGAGCACGGGTGAACTGGTGGACTCCCGCATCCTGTAGGTCAGCACCACTCACCAAGTTCGTAGAGAACGAGGGGAGGTAGAGACCAGACAGGGTGCCAGAGGGAGCCGCCGGACACGGGAGGACGGTGGAGAAGCGAGACAGGACAAGACCCCCAGAGGGGTCAGCCAGGGACACCGCAACCGGCCGACTAAGCGGCGTGAGTGTGGTGCGGTCCCGAAAGAAGGAGCGAGACGCTCCAGAGTCAAGAGTGAAGGTGTTGGAGGCCGAGGCCGACGCAGTACCTGAGGGCGCAGACTCAATGGTACCTGAGAGAGCAGCCTCACCAGTACCTGAGAGCACAGACGCACAGGCACCTAGAGCAGAAGCCTCACTGACACCTAGAGCAGAAGTACCAATGCTCGGGTCAGGCGAGAAACACCGGTAACAGTCACCCTCATCACTAATGGTCACAGCATACATGGCAGCAAGGATAGCATCAAAGTCAAGATCAAAGATAGCTACACCAGCCCTAGACTGCTCTCCCCAGCGGGGGATCTCCGCGGCCTCCGGGAACTGCTGGCGCCAAGCATCCGTCAGGCGGCCAAAGCAGCGCTGGGCGGTGTGGGTACCCCCACACTGCTCTCCAGCACGGTCGCCAGTGCGAAGGACGTAGGTGCAGGGACCAAAACCCCCACCACGCTGACGCTGGGTGTACCACTCACGGAGCTGCTGAGGCGTCGGGAGGTTGCGAGAACGCTGCTGCTGCTGCTGCTGGCGCTGACCACCCCCAGTGCTGCTCCGCTGCAAAGCGCCACTCCGACCACCTCCACCACCGCCACCGCCTCCGCCACCGCCACCCCCGCCTCCGCCTCCACCGCCGCCGCCTCCGCCACCTCCGCTCCCACCGCCAGCGCCGCCGCCACCCCCGCCCCCACTGCCGCCACTAGTACCCCCACCCCGCCACCACCTCCACCGCCACCCCCACTCCCTCCGCCGCCTCCACCGCCACCTCCACCGCCCCCGCTGGCCCCACCCGCTCCCTTGCCCCCCTTGCCCTTGCCAGAGCGGCGTCTCCCGCTAGGGGCAGACGCCGCATCGACCGACTCAAGACCAACGAGGTCGGCCGCGGCGGCAGAGGCGACAGAGGGCAGGAGAGGGGAAGGAGAACACCCCTCAAAGATGGGGGCGCGGGGGTCACATCGAGAGGCTCCTACAGCGACTATGCTCTTCTCCGCCGCTAGGAGGGCCTTCTCGAGGCTGTCGACTGTGAGGGTGGTGGGACAGACCGCGAGGAAGTGGTCCCAGACTACACGAAGGGAGTCAGGGAGGCGAGTGACTAAAAAGTAGAGAGTGATGTACATGGGGGGGGGGGGGGGGTTCTTGGCGCAGAAGTCAGCAGGAAGCGCAGCGCGGTAGCGAGTGTCACTAGTGCGGAGGTGCGTAATGAGGTCAGCGACAGTGGGAAAGGCGGCAAGGTCAGGGAAGAGGAAGGGGAGCATGAGGCGGCTCAGTGCAGCAGTGGCAGGGGAGGAGTAGCGCGCAACTACAGCGTCGTACAAGGTCTGGGCACTCTTGTACTGGCTAAAGTGCGCGCGCTTAGCGGTAGGCAGGTGGCGACGCACAGCAAGACGTGCAGCAGCATTGCGCGTGGCCAACTGTGAGCGAACAGTGGCGTCAGCATCAGCAGCAGGGGCAAGGACGGCGCCAGAGGTGAGGTCAAAGAGAGAAAGACCGTCTGCCCTATCGCACTGTAAGAACAGCTGCAGGTCGTCGAGCCAGACCTCAAAGTCAATGGCACGACCCTCAGCGTCAAAAGCTAGGACACTAGGGGTAGCCATGACTGCAACCGGCGATCTCACCAGACAGGACGGGTTGGGGAGCACAGTAGCACAGCAAACACGGCAGCTCGGCCGGCCTCGCAGCAACAGCAGCACCTCGGCACCAGCGGCTCGGCTCCTCGGGCGGCTCGGGCGGCTCAGGCGGCTCGGGCGGCTCGGGCGGCTCGGGCGGCTCGGGCGGCTCGGGCGCTCAGCGGCACAGGCGACCCGGGCAGCTCTGCAGCTCGGGCGGCTCGGCTCCTCAGCTGCGCAGGCGGCTCGGGTGACGCGGGTGGCACGGGCGGCTCGGGCGTCGTGACAGGCGACTCACGGGCGGCTCGCAGGCGGCTCACGGGCGGCTGAAGGGCGGCTCACGGGCGGCTCACACGCTGCTGTTGGGCGGCTCACGGGCGGCTCACGGGTTGCGCACGGGCGGCTCACGGGCGTCTCACGGGCGGCGCACGAGCGGTTCTCGGGCGGCTCACGGGCGGCTGAAGGCGGCTGACGGGCGGCGCACGGGCGGCTCACGGGCGGCTGAGGGCGGCTCACGGGCGGCTGAAGGCGGCGCACGGGCAGCTCACGGGCGGCTCACGAGTGGGTCACGGGCGGTTCACGGGCGGCGCGTCGGGCGGCTGAGGGCGGCGCACGAGCGGCACGTGGACAGCCTGGGGCCTAGCGGGCAGCACGCGGGCGGCTAAGGGCGGCGCGCAGATGGCGCGGGGGCGGCCTGGGGCCTGGCGAGCGGTGCGCGGGCTATGTAGGGCGGCGCGCGGGCTCTAGGGCGGCGCGCAGGCTGCGTAGGGCGGCGCGCGGGCTGCGTAGGGCGGCGCGCGGGCTGCTAAGGGCGGCGCGCGGGCTCCAAAGGGCGGCGCGCGGGCTCCAAAGGGCGGCGCACGGGCGGCTAAGGGCCGGAACGGGCGGCGCGCGGGCGTGAAAGAGAGAGCCCGGAGCGCGCTCCGGGCAGAAAAAAAAAGTCGAAGTAGTGGTGGGCCCTAAGCACAGTTCCCACAGGGGAACCTGCTCCGATACCATGAGAAGAATAGAACGAGAATGAGATGACTATGAACGAAGTGAGTACAAATAGGAAACCCTAATTGGGTTGTACCCCCTATGGGATACCCCAGTATAGCCTACACAAATAAGTAAGCTCTAATGTTCTGACACGAAATGCCGGCCAGACTGGCCGATGCACCATTTTCTCTACAGATGTGCGTTAGTTACCTTTCAAACCCTTACGTTCACTCGATTAATATATTTCCTACCTTATATTTGAGTGAGACCACTAGATTCCGTGTACTATGCGAGATCTAAGCGGTTCCGTTCTCCTAGGCATTTGCACTCTAAGTTCCTATACTGACCGACCTGGCCAATGCACCATTTTCCATATACATATGCATTAGATTCCTTTCAAACCTTTTTAGCTGACTAGATTTATCTATTTCCCACCTTCTGATCGAGTGAGACCGCTAGATTCCCTCTACTTTTTGAGAAACGAGCGTTTCTGTTCTCCCTGGCCCCACTTGCACTATAAGTGCGAAATGCCGGCCAGACTGGCCGATGCACCATTTTCTCTACACATGTGTGTTAGTTATCTTTCAAACCCTTACGTTCACTCGATTAATATATTTCCTACCTTAGTTTTGAGTGAGACCACTAGATTCAGTGTACTATGCGAGATCTTAGCGGTTCCGTTCTCCCAAGCACTTGCACTCTAGGTTCCCATACTGCCCGACCTGGACAATGCACCATTTTCCATATACATATACATTAGATTCCTTTCGAACCTTATTAGCTCACTAGATTTATATATTTCCCACCTTCTGATCGAGTGAGACCGCTAGATTCCCTCTACTTTTTGAGAAACGAGCGTTTCCGTTCTCCCTGGCCCCACTTGCACTATAAGTGCGAAATGCCGGCCAGACTGGCCGATGCACCATTTTCTCTACACATGTGCGTTAGTTACCTTTCAAACCCTTATGTTCACTCGATTAATATTTTTCCTACCTTATATTTGAGTGAGACCACTAGATTCCGTGTACTATGCGAGATCTGAGCGGTTCTGTTCTCCCAGGCATTTGCACTCTAAGTTCCCATACTGCCCGACCTGGACAATGCACCATTTTCCATACACATATACATTAGATTCCTTTCGAACCTTATTAGCTCACTAGATTTATATATTTCCCACCTTCTGATCAAGTGAGACCGCTAGATTCCCTCTACTTTTTGAGAAACAAGCGTTTCCGTTCTCCCTGGCCCCACTTGCACTATAAGTGCGAAATGCCGGCCATGCGAAGATAACTGCAGCAACGGGAGCTAGGCTACGGGCTAGGCACGTGTGCTCGTGTGATTTCTGCGTTTGTTCACTTAGTCGTTTCCTTGTGTTCACGCTCCTTGCTAGTTCACGGGGAGAATTTGCAAGAGTTCCACTAGGAAAACATGACAAGAATTGGTACAATGAAGTTGGCATAGCAAGACTACATCAGAGCAAGCATTCAGGTCGGCCAACTGCCAGCGCAGCTTGGTCGACCGCGCTCCAGCGCAGCTTGGTCGACCGCGCTCCAGCAAGGCAAGGTCGACGGCGTGCTAACGTCGCAGGTTGACGGCGTGACAGCGTTGCTCACGCAGGACAGCAATGCATCCGCTTCGCAGGTGCGCGCAGATGATTGGCGTGCAGTATCTTGTCACCTGCACAGCGCACAACACCACGTCAACCTCGAGCTGACGACTGCCTCTGATCGGCCACGTCGACCTCGGGATACCACCACCGAGGTCGGGCTCGCAAACTTCGCCTGGGCGACCGTCGCACTCCTCCGCAGCACTTCGCCACCCAGATAACCAGGTCAACTGGGCAACCGCGTCAACCAGCAGCTCCCGTACGTGCCCGTCGACCTCCCAAGTCGACGACCAGCTCCACGTCGACCAGCACAATCGGCCGACCACCCAGGTCTGCCGCCCGAAGCGCGTCACGAAGTTGACGCCCCGCTACTCGACGCCCGACTGCTTGGCGTCCTGCGTCAAGGTCGACGTCGGTCCCTCCTTTGTCGACCACCAGGTCCAGTCGACCACCCGCATGTCGACCAGTGGTCCGTTAGCCGACCGCCGAAGTCGGCTTTGACGTCCTCAGCAGGTCGACTCCCAAGTCGACCTCCCCGAAGTCGGCGCCACCCTTAAGTTGGCGCCCGTGCAGTGGTCCCCCGTGCAGGTCGACCTCCTCGTCGACCAGCTCACCCACTGCTGCAGGTCGGCTGCTCCCCTCACACCCGACCACGAAGTCAGCTCCGCCCAAGCGAGGACGGGGCCAACACCCAACTCCCGTTAACACTCCCCTGCCGCGTTCACGCTTGGGCACCCAGCCCACACGGCAGTACAGCTCGGAGACTAGCTCGTTGACGTGCACCCAACACATAGCACATCGTCCACCGCACCAGCCATGCAAAAAAGGGCATGGCACCTACTGCTGCACTTCGTTGTCGCCGTCGCCCACGTCGGCCAGGCGCACTTGACCGATTGCGACGGAGCACCGGTTGAAGGCCGGATAGTGCAGCGCCTTCGTCAGGAAGTCGGCCGGCTGCTCAGCGGTCGGGATGTACTGCAGCGAGGAGGATGCAAAGGCGGCGTCCCTCCTTGCCAGCTTCAGTGGTCGCTACGTACTCCGACTCGGTCGACGACGACGTCGCGCACTTGATACGGTGGCTCGACCAAGAGACTGCAGCCCCTCTATAGACGAACACGTAGCCACCCGTGCTCGTCCTGTTGTGCTTGTCACCGGCGTCGTCGGCGTCCACGTAGCCGACCAGCTCCAGCGACTCAAGTCCACCGCCAAACTCCAGGGCGGTGTCACGTGTGTTGGCGAGGTAGGCGAGGCAGCGGTCGACGTCGCGCCAGTGCTGGTCGCTCCTCACCGTGAGGCCGCTCCCCAGCTTGCTGCAGGCGAAGGCGACGTCTGGCCTCGTCGTCATCGCCGCGAACTGCAGCAAGCCGACCTTCTGCCGGTACTCCTCCTCCTGCCGTTCCTGCGCCTCCTCGTCATCGAAGGTGAGCTCGGCGTAGGCACCGACCGAGACCGGTGTCTTCGGAGTGCGCCCGGTCTGCTCATCGTCGAGGAAGCGCCTACGCAGCTTGTCGGCGTAGCCCTGCTGGTGCAGCCACAGCTTCCCCGCCGACCTGTCGCGCACGATCTCCAGCCGGAGGTACTTCTGCACCGGCGAGATCTCGCGCAGCTCGAAGGCGGCTTCCTGCAGCTCCTTCAGCTCCTTCATTATCGTGGCGCTGCTGCTGGCGGCAAGCAGGTCGTCGACATAGACCAGCACCCAGCAGGCCACTCCCTCTCGCCGACCTTGAAGTAAAGAGCCTCGTCGACCTGGCTCTTCTTCCACCCGGCGCCGACCAGCACATCGTTGAGCGCCAAGTACCACAACAGCGGCGACTGCTTCAGCCCGTACAGGCTCTTCAGCAGCTTACACACCCGGCCGGTTCCGTCGTTGAAGTAGTCCGGCTGAGACATGTACAGCACCCGATCGAGCTTGCTCTGCAGGAAGGCGTTCTTCATGTCGAGCTGCATCAGGTTGAGGTTGAGGACAGCGACGATGCTGAGGAAGATCCTCAACGTGACGTAGCTGCTCACCGGCGCGAACGTCTCGTCGTAGTCGGCGCCGTACACCTGTGTGAAGCCCTTCACGACCAGCCTCGCCTTCTCTCGCTCGACGGTGTCGTCGATGTGGTACTTCGTCGTCAACACCCACCGGTTCTTCATAACGTTCACCCCCGGCGGGCGTTTGACCAGCTCCCAAGTGCCCATGTTGATGAGGCTGCGAATCTCCTCCTCCATGGCGGCCTTCACCGCCGGGCCCTTCTAGCTCGCCAACGCTTCCCTCACCGTCATCGTCGAGATGTCCCAACGGTGCTTGGGGTCGGCTAGCATGTCAGGGTCGAGTTCCGGAAACTCCTCATCCTCCTCGGCGTCATCGCACAGCAGGTCTTCGTCATCGTCCACGTCGTACACCGTGGTGAAGGCAACG